ATGTGACTATACATTACTGGACTCTACAAAATCAGAATTCGTTTTCAATTATTCGGCGAGTTTAAAGATAACCGAGATACGAAGGAGTGCCTCAAAGATGATATTTTTCAATTCCATTCTGTATCTGACATCATCTTTAATTTTACTAAAAAGTAGCACACTGTAGTGAAAACCGCAACTCTCCATCTTTAATAATAAGATACTTCGAATAAGTGCCGAAAATGGGATAAACTGTACATAACTTGTAGTACTACAATATGCTTTTAATTTCACTTAATTTCTATTTAAGGTCTATCATATGTTAAAGCAAAACGACCCTCGTAGACTAAGATCAGATGACCAGTTACTTTCGATGTAGTCTGCAATGCTGAAACCGAATTTGGCCTCTGCATTGCCTTAGTGAGTCCAGTCAAGATATTCAAACCCCAAGTCCATAAAAATGTAATTTTTAGATTTCTCGAGGCGTAATTGCTAACTCCATTGGGTTTTGATAGCGTGTAGGTAGCATGATGCTATCAAAATATTCGGATGGCTAAATATATCTGTATGTCACAACCGAGTATATTTAGGATTTAATGTTTTGTTACTATGACAGGTAAGGAGCTACATTTCTTCCCCAAAAAAATTGTACCCCTACATAGCTTCATTCTTTTACAATTCAATAGAAGAGTATTTAATGAAATCAACTTTATCATTTTTTATATAAAACTAATTACAGTAAATGAGTGTAATGAATCCGATTCGAGTATACTTGGAAGGTACTGCGCTTTTTTGAAGTAAGTTTGAAAATGCTAATACTACATATACCCGAAGTAGTCCGAGTTCCTGTGCTTGTTGAGGAACATTTAAGTGTGGTGACTGATTTTGATCTCTTAACTGTAGCCTTAACGTCATCGGAGTACAAGGTAAATTTTGTAAAGATGTATACTCGAGAGCATTACTACAAAGGAAAGAACGTAATCATTTCCGCTATATTTTTTATCGCTGAGCATATTAAGTCAGGTTGCGCGGGTGTCGTGCCGATGACCGCTTGCTCTATTTTTCGCTCTGGGGAACATTGAAGCAATAAACAGCTATATTATATAAACTCGGGGGTATAAAAGCGAACATTTTCCGAATAACAATTTTTAATGCGTGTAAACAAGTTAATGTTACTATCTCTTCCTGAATTATATTGTAGTTATGTAATAAAGCTGTGAAACAATGAATAATGTTATTGCTGTGCCTATATTCGAGAAGTTGTTTTTCGATATCGCTCTTTTCCTTTATGGTGTTACAATATCCGACACGTGTCATGGAGGATTAAATACAGAATCAGTTTTATTACACTGATGAAATACACTTACTTTATGGCGTTTTTACATTTCTTTTATCATAAACACTATATTCGTTGTTTTAAAAATATATGTTTCATGGAAATGTCTTTACCTTCTTAGTTTAATTCATTCTACGAAGATCTACTACACGAAAAACACTTCAAGTGGTTTTTCGATATCGGTCCTTTCCCTGGGAAGCATACTTTGATGATACAATACAGCACGCGTGTCACGGAGGATGGAATGCTTCTCGAAATACGGTATCAGTTATAAAGGCTACTGAATAGAGACAAAAAGAAAAGGAAGTATGGAACAATTGCGTTAAGGGAGTTTTATGGTTGAATATCGTAGTTTGGCCTCAAAAGATGATGAAATAACAAAGGGCCCTTTATTGAAGGGGTGCGATTTTGAGTAATGCAAAAAAGGCACCTTTGCAATTTCCTCCAAATAACTATAAAATGAAGCAATTTTCAAATTTTCACAAAAGTACCTTCTTTTAGACAGTTGGATCATCCATCCAAAAACTTTATTTAAGATGTATACCATTTTTAGTATCGAACATTATTAAAGAACCATCAAATAGAAATATATCAAAAAATCCCCATGTTTTTACTAAAGGTTTACTGCTTTTTACCATAGATTGTTCTGTTTTATCACAAACGTGCTTTTTTTAATTTTCGATGTACTCATTAATCATCATCATAAGGTCGTCTGTCCTAAGATTGCGTTTTTCTATCCTGAGCTAATCTTCCCATAGGGAAATGCAAACCAGAGCATCCCTAATCCTTAACTATTTGTGAACAATAGTCTAATCTAGGTCTACCTCTACTCTTCTTAACTCCTGCTTCTACTTCAAATATGTATTTAACTACTCCTTCATGCCTGGGAAGGTGTTTTACCAACCTATTCTATGGATACTGACTAGGTGGATTAAAATAATGGAACACTCTTCTTGCTTCAGTATTTACATTTTCTGAACAAAGACAATAAGTTTGCATTTTTTCAGTCCATATTTAAATGTGTCCATATTGTCGAAATATAGCTAGAATTTTCAATACTTCCGTTTTAATATAAATGTATCTAAAAACTGAGCGTAGCGGGAGATTCAAACGCACCTCAAAACTCAAGAGTAGTAATAATTTATCATAAAATTGTTGACAATACTTTATGTAAAAAGTGTTCCATAGTAAAAATTGAGTAGATACATTAAAAAAGCACTGTAAAATATGACGATAAGTTATAAGTTTCAGCGTATAAAAAATAATAAAAGAGGAAAGGCTGTGTTTTTTCAAGTACTATTTTTTCTTATGCATGTATGTATGTATATATTTATGTATATCTAAATTGCCCAAAATAAAAAGTTGCAGACGATTTAATTAAAAAAAGGCGATTTTTTGAACTTTTTTACTCCGCTTTTTAATTATGTTCGATCCTAAAAATGGTAAGAAGAAAACTAAGTAAAGGATTTCGATGTAAAATCTTATTTTCTAAAAAAAGTACTTTTGTAAAAACTTCAAAACATACTTCGCTTTGAGTTATTTAGAGAAAACTGAAAGGAGTGTCTTTTTTAGGATTACTCAAAGCGCATCCCTTAAAAAAACGGCAGTTTGTGGTTTTGTCATCTTTAGAAGCCAAACTACCATATTCAATCATGAAACGCCTCTAACGCAATTGTTTCATCCTAAAATTTCTATTAAATACGTAGTGTGCAGTCGTGAGATAAGAAATTATCCGGAGACCACTAGGAAGTTGCGTTTCTGAACTCCCGTTCTACTAAAATGTTTTTAAATAAAACTAGCAGCGAATGTAGTTGATGTGTTTAATAGGAAGGTTTTTTACATACTAACTAACAACATTAAATTTACTTAAAACTAGAGAACTACTAACAAAGAGGGTGGAGTCTAAATGAAACATATTATGGTGGTGGATAAATGTGGGAATTATCTGAATGTCGTCATAGACGAGAGGGTGTTGAGTTCTGAAAACAAGTATGAAAATGCTAACAATGAGTCAGGTATTAGTGACAGAAAAACCTCATTTATGCTACCAGGAATTATTGAATTCATCACGCACATTTTGTCTGTATAACAAATAGAATGTTCACGAAATATTGTAAAACTAAATAATAAAAGAAAGGAATTTATGACCTAAACAGTTTAAGTAATGTTTGAATAATAATAATAATAATAATAGTCTTTATTCCCGACGATGTACAAGTTATACATATAGGATGCGTCAAGATACATAGGATAATGTAATCACCGTCCTATTGTCAGAAATAATATTATCACCGACATCGCACAATGTGTTTGTGATGTTAGAAAACACTAAATCTAGAATATTATTTCCACGTGTTGGCACCTTGACTGTCTGGGATAAGTTGTAGCTTGTTAGCTCATCGTATAATGTATTATATTTATTTTCCTGATTTATTTTATCTAGATTGAAGTCTCCTGTTAAAATAAGATTTAATTTTGGTGTGTATATGTGATTCAGGATATTACGTAAACTTCTAATGAATATATTGAAGTTGTTAACTGATGAATTGGGGGGGTCTGTAACATGTTAGTATTATTAGTTTTTGCTCGGGTTTGGGTCGCCACTCTACGCCTCATATTTCTATTATCTGGTCTACACAATATTCTTCCAGTTTTATAGGTGTTGTCTGGATATTGAAGAAGTGTAATAAAGTTGAACTGAACAAAGGAATAAAGAAATTTGAAATGTACTGAAAGTAAATAATAACCCTAGATCTAACTATACGGAAAAGGTTTTGAATAAAAATAATTGTAAAAATACAGATAATTACTAGCACTAAACAAATAGTCTAATATTACAGTGATGAAGTGTACCAAGCGGTTAAGGTACTTAACTATTTTTGGTGATTCTCCTTTTGTGTCGTTTTATCCACTTATTTTTATTTTATTCATAATGTGTCTAAAAACCTTTCAGTGGGGATTTTTAGTCAATAACCGTTCACAAAAAGCCCCGACGTTCATGGCAAATGCTCTTGACGTTTTCTGATTATACAGACTTTATGTGCCACGCAATTATTATTGCAAAGCCGCGGGGTGTGTACTTTTAGCTTAACCAACAATTTTTACAGCTAAGCTGAAGAATGAATTAATAATGTCGCTTCGAAACATGAAGAGAAAATTAAAACGAAGCGGATAACTAACACAATTTTATAAGCATGTATTGCCTTTGTAAATGTCAAACATGTACCCCCATCTTAATTAAAATGGAAGTCCCCTAATGCTTTACTTCTATAGACCAAAGTTGATATGAGTAAGCTTTAGACCTGAAAGTGTTTTTTTATGGAAGGATAAAATTCGTTTGTCATTATTCCTACATTATTTTTAATTAATATGTTAAGTATGCTTTCTGAAATGAGTACCGAATCTGTGACCTTTTTTTTCAACTAAAACCAGTATTTACAAATCACTAAAAAGATAAATGCTTATTTCGCAGTGTACCTGTACACGAAAATGGTTATTTATTCTGAAATTGTCCTAAATTATCTAACTAATATTGCAATGGATATTTAACCTGACCTCCAAATGATCAGAAGGTTTTATATTACACAAACATTTAAAAAGTATTATCGTTGAATACATACTATCGGCGAAATAAACAATTGAAAACGAAGAACATTCAAAGAAATCTAAGCGATTTTATACATACTTGTGGTATTCTGAACAGCCGCAATAGGTTGGCAACTTGAATAGAAGTAACACTTGATGCTGCTCCAACAACACCGGAAATAACTTTGCGCACTTGAGTCTTGTTGCAGTTATATTCATCTCCATCAATGTTACCGATCGATCCTGGAACAAATATCCGTCTTAAATGCTGATATATTATAATTTTATTTAACGTTTTGGAAAGATAAAGTTAAACTAGTTGTACGTGTAACTATACCGGCCTTTAATAGTTATCGACTTTTTAAACTTTTTACAAATTTCCTCTTCGAAATTCACAACACTTGGATTTCATTTTGTGAAATTTTGCTATGTTACTCATGGAAATAATAATAAAGTAGTTTGGCATTTGAAAGACTTACGGAAAGATTTGAAAGAACGGACAACATAAATTACGAATCAAATTTGAAAAGAGAAAAAACAGTAGCAAATGAAGAAAATAAAAAGCTTGTAGCAGGAAATTCAACATAAATTTCATCCGCATCATTACAGAGTGGGCAAATTTCGACCTTCGTATAGGACAACTCGGTAACTACAAAAGATACAAAAAAAATAATGGCGGCTTCTGTATTTCTTTTTCTAAGACAAATTTACTGGAGTTTTCAAAACCTTGCTACAGTCTTTTGTTTTTATGTTATAAACAAATGTTCAAAATGTCGAATTTTGGCTACATGTCCATATCTTGGTTGTTTGTAATACTACAAAAAACAACTTTTACGTTCTTCAGGTACTTTTTTTACATAGAATACAGAGGTGTTGGAAAAATTAAAAAAAAATTATCCATTTTCGAGTTATGTCATAAACTTGTATTTTATTAAAAAGGAACCATAGTTGTAGTTATGCTATGCTGTAGTTAAAAAGGTATTTTTTTTTCTTTTCAAATATATACACAATATGTGGGGTCGCTTTCGATGGGTAAGCAGTTAAGCACGAATATAATCTTTTGTTAATTTACCCTTGGAAATTTTCAGATTGGCTTCTAGTAGACGCCTGTCATCTATATGATAGTGATCACCAGTTGATCATTTTAAAGGATGCTCCATTTAAAATAACGCACTTTTGCCTCATATTAAGTTAAATGAGTACCATGCATGTGTAAAAATATTTTTAGGTTATGCACCATAAAGCATTGGGCAACATTAAATTAATTTTTTTTCTAATGTCATTCTATAAGTAAATATCGTTCGATATCCCACTATTTGAGCACCTTGTATGTATTTACAATACATAATGATTGAGAGATAGGATAAAATCAAATTTTTTAACTAAATATGAAATATTATTCTGAAAATTCATTTCTTGAATTTTTTACCCACTACACACTACCTCAAATTAATGAGGGAAAAATTGTTGCTGTTGACAAAACCCTAGCCGGGAATCGAACCCGGGACCTTTGGCTTTACGCACCAATGTTCTAACCACTAAACTACGAGAGGTGACAACAACAACCACGACCAACCAACCTATAAGGTTAACGATCTATCGAACTAATGCAACTATATACTGAATAGACTATGACCAAACACACATATAATTTAGACATATTTTTAGAAGTGAGTTAGTTTAATATGAAATATCATTCTGAAAATTCATTTCTTGAATTTTTTACCAATTACCTCAAATTAATGAGGGAAAAAATTGTTGCTGTTGTCACACCCCCGCCGGGAATCGAACCCGGGACCTATCAGATGAAAAACAGGAGTTAAGAGCAGTAGAGGTAGACCTAAATTAGATTATTGCTCACAATTTTTTAAAAGTTAAGGATGTGGGATGCTCTAGTTTTAGTGAAATGTGAAGATTAGCTCAAGATAGGAAAAAAATGGAGGTGCTCGTCCAACCAGTCTTAGAACTGACGATCTTATGATGAGATACCTTCTTATAAAAAACTTGAAGTCGAAATAACAAATAAATTTGAATCGTATGTTGTACGTTATTTGAACTTCTTGGAAACTATGAAATATTTAAGTATAAAACAAATGTTTGCTATTACATGATACTCTTAAAAATTGAAGCAAGTGGACTTACAGAAGGATGGATTGGGCATACGGGAACGGCAATCATTTGATGAACATGCTTCATTTTTATCAAAGTGTTTAGATAGTTGGATTTATAGGTAGCTCGAATTGTCTGTAAATAAAGTATTTCAATTTGCTCTACAAACATGCTGGCATTTCTTTGTACTGCACTATAATTAAATGTGAAAGCCCTGTTAGAAGTGCAGGCGGAATAAATCGAGAAAAAGTTCGCAAGCAAGTTTTAATCGATTAAATGTTCAAATTGCAAGCCATTTACTGCTTTGCAGTAATAAAATCCTTGTTCAACATTCTCTCGAACTTTCCGCAGCATGTCGGGGGTTATTTCATTACATGCAGCCAAAATTCGGCTGCGTAAATCTTCTCAGAGGTAGGTTCCGTATTGTAGATAACATTCTTTAAATGGCCTCTCAAGAAGAAATGCAATGGTGTTAAATCTGGCGAGCTTGGAGGCTATTCTATGAAACCACTTCTACCAATCCAGTGTTCCGGAAAATGTTAATTAAAAGAGTCACGTATAGGAGCTGCATGTTGTGACAAAGTGTCATTCTTTAGAATCTCCACAATGCAAGAATCGATTATGTTTAAGTAAATTGCGGTAAAATTCACTTGAAAAACTTTGCATAAAAAACGAACCAACAATACTATTTCCCAAAACCCTCCCATCCATTCAACTTTTCCATAGACTCATAATTTACAATTCAAATCACTGCAATATCTGCAATTATGTTTGTTGACGTAACTATCATGAAAGAACGTGCTTTTAATTGTGAATGTGAATTTTAATTACTTATATATACTATTTTACATACTCACCAACATTATAAGCTTGCGTGTACCGTAATGGATTACTTAATGCACACAATTTCTGCATCTCTCACTTACCTACTTCATATTTTTACTTTCATAATCCTGTACAGTCTATTTCAATTTGTTAAAATTATGACCTTGAAGAAATGTGCGCGAAGATAGAAAGAATACATACTAGCCGTGAGCAAGACAGAAATAGTTAGAACGAGCTTGAACGAGCAGATCTCTGGATGGGCGGTCTTAGAAGATCGGCTAGAACTGTACAGTACTAGACGAAAATGTTTAGCAATTTCTTAAAACAAAAATGTATATAAATTAACAATAGAAAACAAAGCAAAAGTTTTATAGGTGTGTAGAACGTTAAGTTAATTCACTTGTTATTATTTTTGGCTAAATATGCTTTTAAATAAAGCATATTCATAAATTTTAACAAGGCACTCTTAAATAATTTTGCAAATGGTACTGTACACTTTTGTCTAGTTCTCGCTCGATAATCGGTTTAGAAATGAGCTCCGCAGACAAATATGATTGAATTTGGAATTATGCTACGGCTCATCCTAATAAAGGGAAGGGGCATATCTCTAACTTCTTGAAACGAACAGTAACTGTATATTCTAATTAAAATACTGTCATGCCCTAATGTACATATTCATAAAAATTTGTAGCCCTGAAGAAGCTTAAAGCTTTGGTTATGTAACGGAATAAATAAAGAAAAATTTCACCCCTTAATTTATTAGATTTAGTCCTCCTAACAATTAAAAATCATAATAGCTGTCAATAGCAGCAATTAAAGAATTAACATTCAGCCACTTTTTCCGGACTTTGATTGCAACCCTTTTTTTATAGTTCAAATGTCCCATAAGTTCATCATTCATTAGGTTAAGTACCCGTTTCCTTGAATTCACTTTTAATTATAGCGCAGTACAAAGAAATGTCAACATATAACTAAAGAGAATTGAAATACCTTTAGAATGATGTATCACATAATCCGCATGCCATTTAGGATTCTTGGAAGGATGACCTTCCATACAATCAAACTATGCCCCCCTTGAAGAGAAAATAGACCTCTTACAGTTGAAAATTCTTCAGATAGAAAGTTTTAAATGCGTCACCCTACATATCTTCGACCTAATATATTCATAATTGTAATTAACTGAGGGAAACTTTACATTTTATTAATTTTATTCTTTTAAATGTTTGTTATGTTCACTATAAATTCATCATTTCTAATTATTTTTGAAAATAGATTAGTCTTCATTAAATAAAACGCTCAATTTACTAATTATTAAAAAATTTAAAAAATTAAGAAAATTGAATGTCACATATCCTCCTGTATAATGACGATAGGAATATGGAAATAATTGTGGTAACGCATAGTGTGCAAAGTATTGACAAGAAACAATGTGATATCAGTGTCAAAATAACACTGGGTAAGTAAGTAGGTTGAAATTACAATTACGTATTACATGCGTCTCTATTTTCTTCAACTGTAACATACTTCACATACTTGTATGGTCAGAAACACTGCCACATGTTCAACATCATAACGTCTACAAAATAAAAAGGAGCTGTTTGTTACTTAAAATAACAATATCTGACTACGATTTAAACTGAACTAATTTTTGTTTATACCATTAAATAGTTTTATTTATCAGTTACATTTACTTACTGCAAGTAAACTTTCTGAAGATTTAATATAATAAATTACAGATATCAATAACCCTATAAAGATCCTGCTAAAGACTTCAATTAATGCATTTTAATGAAGAGGGCGATATTCTTACTTCAAACAGTACTAAATTAATTTTTACGGAATATACCCTAAGCAAGTTATTACAATGTTTTAGTATACACTCAAAAGTTATATTTTATCCTAATAATTGACATATTTCTACAGAGTTAGTTTTGCACTTATTGGCATTTACTATAGCCATAAATGTGTGATAAGGGTAAAAAATTGACTTTCGTATACTTACAAATTAAACGCAAAAGAATGGGGGATTGTACGGAGTAAGAGATTAATGTGCCTCCCATTAACAGAATTCGTTAGAGTTTAACATTTTCCTCCTTTCCCGTGTACGTCACGATAAGAATGGTTTGCTACTAAAAGGATAATGATGCTCTTCTTATTTAAATGTAGCGTAATCTACTCATCAAAAACAGAAAAAAAAATTACAACCTCTTTAACTCACTGTTTGTACATACTATGCATATATGTCGTAGTAGTAATTTTTGCCTAAAAGACGTACTAATATTTTCCGATAATAACC